GGGGGGGGGGGGGGGGGGGGGGGGTCGGAGATATGTTCGCTGCCAAGGCTTCGGAGTCCAAGGATCCGGTCCTTACGGATCTCAGATTCAGGGTGTAGGGCCTACCTAAACCGCAAATAACCTACCGTCTTCAGGATTTATACAAAGAAATCATAATCAGGAGCCCTGAAAAGGTAGGTTCTTCAGGGCTTCAGCTAGGGTTAAGGGCTTAGGGCCTCACGGATCTCTGATTCAGGGACTCTCATGACCACCTTCCTTCATTATAGGACAAGGAACCCCTTATACAAGTAGGGGAATCATCCTCAAAGCATGACATGAAACACGTCTATTCCATTCAACTCGACGTTGAGGCCGCTGGGATTGCAGGCTGCTCTTGGGAAGTTGTCTCAGGGGGCTCTTCAGGCTTCAGTAGTTTTGGGGTTTAGGGTTTAGGCTTCAGTAGCTTAAGGGCTCGGAATGCTTGTAACTCAGGTTCCGGGAACAAGTGCCAGTTCCAACCGGCAAGGCGACAGTAGCAACGGTGAAAAGCAGCTCGACCGCTCAACACAAGATCTGAAACTGGCAACCCACAACCCCAAAGCCCAAACCACTCTAAACCCAATCTTCTCAATCACGCAGGCTCCAAAAAACAAGTCTCCTCTGACCCGGAAGCCGAGCATGTTAGAGTGCAGCCTCACATGTTGGACTGTAGAGATTCATAGCATAACGCAGTGGCATGCATTCCAAGCCCATCGAGGGTGCCAAAAATTAGCCTCTGTAGGCCGAACCCTCATTCCCGAACTCCAGAAAATCCTTAAACCCTCAGGTCCGGTAGCCCTAGTCCTAGTACCCTTCATCCCTAAACCAGCCCTTGAGGCCCTCGAGCCGCAGTACCCAAAACAGCCCTAGCGAGCACCTGAGGATCTTTCCAGGGCTTCGTCTTCAGGTTCTGCTGGATCTCCTGGCCCTGCCGCGAAGGTTCTGGACCAGTTCTGGGGCTTTAGGGCAGAGCTGATAGGGTTTCAGGCATATGGTTCTATTTTAGGTTGTATGGCGCCTGGGTTTAGGCGACAGAAAAGGACGTGGAGGGGTTGCTGCGTTTACGGTTTAGGGTGCAAGAGAGGCCGTAAAACGACAAGCCCTTTAGCCCGCTCACCAAGGCCTCTAATCCTTCAAACAGGCTTTCACGGATTCTCGGAGAGCCCTGGCAGAGCTAAGAGTGGACGACGAGAATGGGTCACATGTATGCTAGTGTCAAAGCATGCCAATTCTTGGTAAGCCACCATGTGATAATCTGACTTGTGCAGATTCCTCATGTCTGGCATCACACGGTGCGCCAGTTTACCGTCTGACTGACTTGGCAGAACTTGGAGTGGGGAGTACCCGAGACCCTGAACCCAACCAACCTATGGCTCGGTTAAAGGTTTAGCAGGGCATCAAGGATAAGATGCACAGGCTTTCAGGCAGGGTCGCAGCTATGGTCCAAAACTGGGTCTTGGCTTGGGAAGAGTCCCTCGGGCGCGACCTAGGCCCAAATTTCTTTCTGGACAAACTTCCATTCCACAAGGATCCCCAGATAACGAATTCAAGCAAAGCATAGATTGCCATATACTACATGTCCAAGGCACCATGATATACACATAGAGCTTATCGTTGGACCCCACGGAACAATACGCTCTGCTAGTTCAATTAAGGCGTACCCCTGACTTTTTCAGAAGCAGAAGCAGGGCCTCAAGCTCTTTCCTGACCTCATAGAGCGTCTTCAAGCCTGCCGGGGGGGTGCAAGTATGATCTTGGGGCCTTAGCAATCAGAATCAATTCCTCCCTCGCTCCCTCCCTCCTTCCCTCCCTTCCCCGCTCGCCTTCAATCGCGTCATGGTTCTGATAGGTTGCTGATCTTTCTCGCTCTACCCCCACCCCCCCCCTTCCCGGCTCTGTCTCCCTCTCTCTCTCTCTATCTTCTCTCTCGGTCTCCCTCTCCCTCTCTCTCTCTCTCTGTGTCTCCCTCTACGTCACTGCCTCGTTCTGATGTGTTTCCGGCAGCGTCTCAGCTCGACTACAACATCAGACTTGGCATGAACAAGGAAATTTCGAATCTTCAGTATCAAGATGTTCGGCCTCTTCCAGAAAGCACCTCGAACATACTTAGGCCTTCAAATCAGAAGCATGTATCCGGCCTCCGAGTCTGTAGGTCGTCTCTCCGTGGACATGGTTCATGGTGGTCGACTTTGTCCAATCACCAGTTTCAGGTTCGGCGGTCGTAGTAGTGGGCCGAGGAGGTGGGACGACTCCTGGCTCTTGGGCAGGAGGTGCTGGGGCCGGTGGCGCGGCAGGCTCAGCAGTGGTCGGTGCAAAGGTTTCAGCACTGCCATGCTTGCTGCTGCCGGTATCTTGAGCATGGCCGCCCAGTGATCCCTGGCTGGGCGGCGACCCGTAGCCGCCTTGCGAGCCTTGCGAACCGTAACCGCCTTGCGACCCGTCGCCACCCCCACCCTGTGAGCCGTCGCCGTCCCCGGCCTGGTCTCCGTCTCCGGCCTGGCCACCATCACCGCCCTGCGCCCCGTCGAAGCCTGATGATTCTCCATCCCATGAGGAAGCACCGCCCCAGCTGCCGTCCCCAGATTGACCTGCATCTCCGTAACTGCCATCGCCTCCGTTCCCGAAACCACCACCGCCACCATCACCAGTAAACTCGGCACCATCGCCGTAGGGATCACCACTATAAGAGCAGACGCGACAGATGCATATGGCACCCAGAGCCACCCATGCCCCTGAGTGCCACATGGCACCGCCACTGCAGCCCATGAACGGGTTCCCGTCGGCTCGAGCCAGAGAGACAGCAATAAAGTCACGATCACTGTGCAGCAGTGTGTTCAGTAGGCAAGTATAAGGAGATAGTCATGCGATACCAATGCAACGCCGCTTCGGTTGCAGCAACACCAAAAGTAACAAGGAAGACTAGCTAGCAAAAGACTCCTCCTCCTCCTCATCATCATCATGATCATCATCGTCATCACTAGCATCGTCCATATAAGCCATCGCAAGAGTCATCACAGGCTACATCAACGGTAGCGGCAGCAGCAGTGACAACGGCTGAGGCGAGCTTACGCAAGCTTACCGCTAGAGCCGACTCTGCACACTCGTGTGCCAACAAGTTTCTATCAACGGTTTCGGGCTTAGGGTTTAGGGCCGAACTGGCTTGGGAATTAGAGCTTCAAGTGGTTTATAGGGTTTAGAATATAGAATATAAAACTTAGATCTCTTTAGGGTTTAGGAAGACCCCTGAGTTTATCAACCAGACACCTGAAACCCGCAGAAGTAGCACGCACTCACCGGCCAAGGGCCCAGATGCCTAAGCAAAGGTTCGAAGATAAAGATTCTGAAGGGATGACCTTGGCACAAGTGTTTTGTCTTTCCGCAGACCGCCTTCAGCGCGAAGCTCAAAACCTGATCCTCAATCTCAAAGACCCTGAGACTTCAGCCCCCATTTGTTGCTAGATGTGTCTGTAAGCCTCCGATGTAAGGTTTCGCGCACTCCATTCAAGAGTTCAGGGCTCTTTTGGGCTTTTTTCGGGTGGTGTCTTAAGCTTTAGACTTTAGGGTTTCTGAACAAGGGAGCCCTGATTTGTTTTGCGCTGCTGCTCGCAACCGACCTCCTCGTCTGCCTGACGAAAGAGGCAAGGCAGCGAATCATCGCAGGGATTTCTGAAACAGATTCGGCGCCTTAGCTTCTGCCCTGTCTATCGGATGGACTTATGAAGCAGCTTGCGCAAGCAGCTTCGTGTTCAGAAATGCCCGGAACATCCAATCTACTATACAAAACTTGGCTGTCCTCAGTCCAAGCAATTATGAGAAGTTCGGGCACCCACTCTGGCCCCCAAACTGGGTCAACTGCAACTCTGGCGGACATCCCGATGGTTCAGTTTGGCAGCGACTCCCTCAACCGAAGCCGCTGCTAACTGCGACTTCATCACGCATAAGCATGAACAATAGCTGTGTAAACCAATAAATCAAGATGTGAGGAGCTCGTCTACATGTAACATGATGGAACTTTGTAAGACCGCGCACATGGGTGCTTGTCACTAGTTGTATAGGGCTCATGTTCGAAGAGCATGGGCATCTTCAGCTTCGGTCTTGCTCCTACTTGGCTGCAGCCCCCGCTACGCTACGACTCGCATAACCCTGACAGGAACCTGACAAGTTGCAAAGGAGATTATGCCCAACATGCTGGCGCGATGATTGTTGCTGCCGGCTCACTACTCGTAACGCGTCTACCGTCACCACTATTTGTACCACCACGGCTACGACTATGCGGCGTGGTCATGAAAAGGAGAACTAGCACGATTAGCACTCTCACAATGCAGACCATGACGAACGTGCAAATCAGTAACATAGGCAACCCGTCACAAGTCAAGCAAACAACCTAGCAGAAATGATTGACAGTGCAAAAAGACGAAACTGCATTAAATGGGCATGCCATGGAATCAGCATTTTTATGGTAATTAGTTGCTTGGTTGGCTTCGAACCCACATCTAAGACACCTTGGTAGTTCCCTGAATCAGGATCCGAAATTCTCAGTCAGGACCTTGCAGCGGACCCTGCCCTAATTCGGAGAACTCCCAGTCTGTTGAAGCGTACACGCCGCTGTGCAGTTTTGACTATGCAGCTTCAACATGCTATGAGACGCTGCGGGACTTTCAATTAGGTCTCTTTTCGTCTCGGGATGCTGGAGTTTCTGGCAAGTCAGCCCGAACACAGGTTTTCTTGCACGGAAGCCCCTTGTCCATTCCGCCTCAGATAATGAAACTCTAGAAGCCCTAAACAGTATATCCGCGGGAGTGGGTCCGCGAGGTCGCCCTCTTTCAATGCTCCGGCTGTTCATTCGGAGTCCTCTGCTTCACCCACCGTTCGAGCTGCGACAGATTTCAGGATTGAGCTCAGTATTAGGGTCGTCATTTGACGCTTACAATTCAGGGCCATTCAGGGTCAACTAAGTTTATACGGTCGAAGGCCAACTACATGTACAAATTAGTGTCAATCAAGTTCAGGATCTAATGGTTCAGGATTTGAATTTTTCAACGTGATCCGTGACCATGGAGTACAGATGCAAGACTCGACGGCTATTGACGAAATAGTCCTCATACCGTGCCCAACTTCACAACCATAGCCACTGGGTTCTTCGGGCTTGGATGTGGGTACTGTAGAACTGTGGATTCCGCCCGAACTCTGAACATGTTTCCCCGCAACACTTCAGTGTTCTCACCCTTCGTATTCGTTGGATTGAGGTCCTACGTGACACATGATACGGCTAATTCAGTGCCTCAAACTGGTTGGACTAGGGTTTGGGTGTACGCCAGTCCGGCATTTTGAAGGAAAGGGTGCTACGTATCTGCTACGAGATGTTGAGGGTGCCTTAAACAGGCTAGACGTCTTACAGCCGGAGAGGAAACCCGAAACCCTAAGCCCTCGCGAAGCAACCACCAAAACCCAACTCCGCAAACCCAAACCCTTTGAACTCTGCGTAAATCCTTTCAAGTAAGGGAGCCTGATCATGTCTTTGAGTGTCGTGTTTGAGATTTGAGGAGTTGCATTCATTCATACTTCGGGCTTACGGTATAACTAGGGTCAACAAACCTCAACATAAGCACCCCACCCCTAGTCCCTCGTTTTCAAGAAACCCCATCCCTCCGGAGGGCTGTTTCACAGGGACCCTCATAGCAGCCGAGCCCTCATCACGCTGCTAACACAGAGTTGGCGATGCGTAGTCATCGGGGTTGCTAGCCCAGCGTCGAATTTGGGGTTATCTGTCAAAGCGTTTTGGGCGTTCTGGGTCTGGGCTGAACCCGGTGGTCGGATTCAGAGGCAAGTGTGTGGGAAAGCAAGAATGAAATCGAATCTGCAAACCAACTTGTATAGTCTTCAATCTTGTAGCACCTCATGACTTTTGAAGTTTTGAAGCATGCCGGAGTAAAACAGCATTCAGGTTCAGTCTCAAAGATTGATTGGGGGTGCTCAGTTCAAAAATCCTGAATGGCTACACCACACAGTAAGCCAAAAAAACACTGAACAGTACGGGATTGAACGTATGGGTTGCTGCAGTTCCAAAATCCCCACAATCCCACTGTCCCACTACTAGATCCGGTGCTCCATACATACATACCTACTTACATACGTACGTACATACGTACATACACACACACACACAGAGGGACACAGAGAAACAACCCACTCACATGCCTACCTACATGCATGGACAGATAGATACAGACATACATGGGTCCACAGCCACACACATGATTTATCTCTTCGCCTTTATGCTCTCCATCTCTCTATCTATAGTTGCATCGCTTGTGCAATTCAATGCAATTCATCGGGCTTCATAACCGGGTTTACTTACTGCCCTCCATCTTCGAGTTTCTTGTGATGTTTGGCAAGCATTCTGGACAACCATCGGCGTCCAGGGTACAGGGTTGGAGATGGGTTTAGTAAGTCGGATAGTCCTTACTTGCAACCCGAGCATGACCTATTCAGTGAGTTGCCCCCCCCGGGGGTCTCGTCATTGGGCCAACTCTGCGGCTCAGAACGGATGCCGCTGCAGACGGCTGGCAAGAGTTGGCAAGGCATCAGTGTTGTCTCTTGCTCACGTATGTGCAGCTGGTCTTATGTGCTAAGCTGCCGGCGCCAGGTATCGTGCACACATATGCATGCTGCGGAATTGGACCGAGAAGAGCCTCGGATTTTTCGGATTTCCGGATGGGAACTCTGAAATAACAGAAGAGGGCTTGGCGACTGAGACTTTAGGGCAACTCCGAAGGAGTATGTACGGTTGGGAAGCGCATAGTTACTTGTGGGGATGTCGTCTGGATCGAAGTTGAAAGCAGAGATGACATATGTGTATATATATATATACATACACGCACATACAAATTATGTATGTTTATCGATGTCTACCCCTACATACATACGCATGTTTACACACACACACACGGGCGTAGTTGTGATTCATGTCCTTGTCGGCTTCTTAATAGCTACGCAGATGACATAAGTATGTAGGGAGAGATATCAAACTCCTTAACCAAACAAATCGCCGCAACTCGGTTTGAAAGCCAGATTTAGTATAATATGCCTTCACCATGTGAACTGTGAGAACCCTCGCCAGCGCCACAGCAGACTCCCATTTCAATTCCGCCACTCACAATGGCGGCGGTGACGGGAGAGGAACATCTCTTGGATGGTATATGTCTGAAGTCTTTGACTGTGCATGCAACGGGCAAGCCTCCACAGGGGAACATGGCAAAAGCAAGCGTGAGTGATTCCATAATAAAGCTGTATCTGGTTAGCTCACCGATGGCATCGAATGCAATGTACAAACCGCGTCGAAACTGGTGCGGCTTAGCACTGACAACCTGCGAAACATTAATACTGGCAACAGCAACATCAGCATTAGCCGGAGTAGCACTAGTAGTAGTCGTCGTAGTCGGCAGCAGCAGCAGGAGGAGGAGTAGTGGTGGTAGCAGCAGGAGTAGTAGTAGT